ATTCTTTGAAGGCAATGCTGGCAAGCTCTTTCCACAAAACACCTGTGATATTGAAATGCGAAATTTAATAATGAGACAGCTTGCCTCTTTGGCTTTCCACGAATACACACCAAATCAGTTTTTTATTGTCTGCTGGGAATGTGTAGCATTTAACAAATGTAGCAACATAGCAACTGATATTATAGATGCCTTTCCTGCTTTCCTTTCCTTTCCTGTCAACCTGCTCCAGTGTAAAATTTTGATATTTCTACATTTCTGAAAATAGATTTGTCAGTTTGTCAGCATGTTTTCCCCATTTTCAACTCTCTGCCACCATCCCCAGGCCCAATCCAAAACTAAATGTGGGTTTGGGATGACAAAACTATTACGCCTCTTATGTTATCACAAGAGCTCATGACAAATCTGATGTGATAAGGAAATTGTTGCATTTTAAAAAAATCACTGAAAAGGCAGACATGATGTCAGCAAGGCTTGTAGAGCAATTTCTGTCTCACTTTGCTTCATTATTTCCTCCCCACCCCCAATTTACTCATGACTTTAAAAATAGCAACCAGACTATCTTTCTTTGGGAGTTTATTCTGGGCCAACGCAGTTCAGAAAGGTGCCTCTAAACAGCTAGAGGGCAAAGCAGAGAAGACGGGTCTTGCTTTTTTATCTGACTATCTTGATCAGGTTAGCTTTCAGCCTTTTATTATTATTTTTTAAAGGGGAGAAAAAGCATGCTTACTGAATAGGTGTGCCATTTCCCCTCTCCTTCTCCCCCCCCCCTCCCTTGATGTGCATGGAGATGTAACTGAAGATTTTGCATAGAAAAATGTAGACTAACCAATAAATAAATACTCTGCATATCTTATTCAAGTGGTCTTTTCATAGGGTTGAGAAGTTGTAGAAGGGATGGGAAATTTAGTCTGCAATCAAGGTTTTCTTCAAATGCCACCGTACTTTGTAGAATCTGCAATGGGATTTTGTGTCTGTGTGTGTGTGTTTGTGTGGGAGCAGTTTTGGCTTTGCAATGTGAGTGTTCATATGTGTGTTTTGTTCTTAGTCATTTTGATTTATGATTGAGGGTTTTTGGGTTGTTATTTTTCATATTTTTATAATGGCTCTATTGGAATGGGAGTGGGCAAGACTGCAGAGATGTTGAATTAAAGTCCAGTGAACAACGGGAGAGGTCACTGCTCTTTGTGTATTAGGAGAGCCTTAAATATGATTAGTCCTTCAAATTGTTTTTTATTAAATTTCATTGTTCAAATAAATCCTCTGCATGGAGGCTGGACTGTGCCTCTGTTTGTCTGGTTATGTTATTTATTTAGCTTGGCTCTTTAAGACTTACCCATTTTCCTGTCTGGCCTCCATGCCTTGTCTTGCCTGTTCATGGTCCATTCTTCTTTTTCTTTAGGGGCTGTAATTTTTCCATCTGTCTGTTTATGGTAACAGAGATGTGACAATTCTGAGAAAAGCCTTTGCATAACCCACATATAATGTTAACAACCTTGAGAGTTACGCTCTCCCTTAAAACATTCTGTGGGGAACTCTCTTTTGCAGGTTTGACTTTTTCAATTTTTGTTGTGGTTTCAGGCAGTTTTCGTGAAGGAGTTAGCTGCTTTCTCCTTATGTCGTCAAGGAGAAGCAAGAAAAACTCAGGAGGATCCTCAGTCTGTAGCCGGAAGCTTTGGATACTTTGCGATAAAGTTGGTGGAAGCCGGCAGTAGTTTTCTATGAGTGCCTCCCTTCTCTCGAAAGAAGACAAAAGCACACCAGAAAACACCCACAGATATATCCAATTTTTATTTTTTGTTTTTAAAAATAGATAGGCCACAGCTCTGTCAACAATGGACAAATTTGCCAAGTCAAACTTCTCTTGAGCCACACACTTACTTTCAAGGAAATTGTACTCCCAAAGATTTGATTAATGCCCTTTCCAAGTTCCATATCATGCTACATTATTTTTTTACATAAAATATTTTTTTCCTTAAAATAAAACAAAGCATACTGCAGCTTCAAAGCACTTTAGAAAGCTTCATGTTGTAGCAGATGGGGAAATAAGATTGAAGAAAACTTGATCTAGCCCCAACCGCATTGCCTCCTTCTAACCCCCCTCCTCCACTGATCAAATTTCGTCATAGAATCAGAACTCGATAGTTCTATTGATTGATTGAGGAGAGTCACCTCTAGATATTTTCACACTGATTTGGATGATCATTTATGCACACACACACACACACACACACACAATGAAGTTAAGGAAGACTTTTGATGACTGATCAGCAGGCCTGGAAAGGTTTGCCCAAATTCTCTGAGCAAGATAATCTAGAAATGTATTGGCTGTAACAAAGACTTTCTTCTTGCCTAAACACGCATTTCAAGCGTCATCACCTGGACCTCCTAAGTGTTTGCTGTTTGTATTAGATGTGGAGTTTCCATGCTGATCCCAAAAGCCTCCCCTTGCCAGGATCTGCCTTGCTCAAAACTTTAGGCATCTCCTTTGCCCAGGATCCTTGCGCTTAGTCACAGCTGCCATGCTGCACCACGCTGCTTTCTTATTGCACTGCCTCCCACTGGTCATGGGACAGTATGACATCTGCAAATCCTGGGTGACCACAGACAATGGGCCAATGTGGGAATTTTACGCTTGCCAACCCAGGGCCGTGCCCATGAAGGAATACGCAACAGTACGAGTGGAGCCATCAGGAATCACCTGCGGGAACCCACCCCAGAAATTTTGCACTCATGTGAGTAGAAGTATTTATATTTTCTCATAGCAAGAGCTGTCAAAGTGAAACTAATGTGTCTTAAGGATCCTCAAGATCAGACACAAAGTTGTGTGAAGAGGGTAGGGTAAGTCAAAATATTGGGTTGTATTTAAAAAAGTAATTGAAATGAATGGGTTGTGTACAATATTGGTTAGAGTAGACCCATTTAAATGAAAAGACATGACTAACTTAAGTTTATCAATTTCAGTGGGTCTATTTTCAGTAGTTGGATACAACCCATTCTTTCAGAAGGGACCATGAGTGAGTGATACATTGCTTGCTTTGCCTGCTGAAAGTCCCAGGTTCAGTAGGAAACTGTCCTGTACTGAGTCAGGCCATTGGTTCATCTAGCTCAATATTGTCACCACGGACAGTGGCTCTCCATGGTTTCAGACTGGGGATATTTCATCTGTACCTGGAGTTGCAAGGGATTCCACCTGGGACTGTTTTGCATGTAAAGCAGACACTCTTCCACCAACCTATGGCCCTTTTGCAGCCATAATGGTATCTTCAGGTGCAGCTGGGAAAGATTCCTATCTGAAATCCAGGAGAGCAGCTGCCAGTCAGTGTAAGCAATATTAGGCCAGATAGGCCAATGGTCTGACTAAGTAAAAGGCATCTTCTTATGTTCAAAAGGCACAACACTGTCTATTAAAATAAGTGGAGAGTAAATGATTGGTTTAAAATGGAGGGAGGTGGAATTCATATTTGTATTTTACAAACCTTTCAAACAAATGATATATGAACAGAAGGGGGAGGGCCATAGTTCAGTGGTAGAGGATGTGTTTTGTATCCTGAAGTCCTGGGTTCAGACTCTTGAGATCTCCAAGTAGCACGTTATGAGGAAAACCTTCCTTTGCACTGTAAATCATTGTAGAAAACTTTGAGTTTTCTGGCTCAGTATAAGGCAGCTTCATCTGCTCCCCTTGGCAGGGAGGTAGTCTGGGCATAGGATAGCTTCCCCTACTGTTATTACTGATGTACCTTATAGTTTGTGTTGTGCTCCTGATTCTAACTCTGTCTGACCTTGACCAAAGTCATGAGGGCCTTCATTAAAGATAAAGCATTTCTGGCCCATTCGGCTAACTGTATTGTCTCTGTATTGCCACTGTATTTATGGGAACATGCATTGAGTGGTACTGGGAGGTAAGTTAGGTGCTTTTCCCACTAGTGTCATTTAACCATCCTGCCTGGCTGAGGTCTAACACATTATGCAAAAGCATTAGTGTTTTGTGCATGCTAACGTAAAGCCCAGGGCATACAGACATTATTTTACCCACCTCTCACTCACTGAAAAGCGATGTAAACACCATAAATTTCAAGCAGATTTCCCCCAAAGCATATCAGGATCTGTAGTTTACCCCTTACAGATTTACAATTCCTGGCACCCTTAACAAACTTACAGTTCCAGGGATTCTTGCCATGAGTTTTCAAAGTATGGTTGGTGCGCAGCTAGGACTGGGAATAACCAGGTTCAAATCCCCACTCACTGGGTACCTTCAGCCAGTCGCTATCTCTCAGCCTAACCTACCTCATAGTGTTGCTGACAAGGTAAAATGAAAGGGAGAACTATGCTTGGGAGGGAAGCAGGGTATATAACAGACACAGTGATCTTTTCCCAAGTATATTTTTGACATGTTTAACCATGTTAACTTAATACTTCAGTTCAAGTGCAGATACAGAACTTGTCCTGCCCTGGACAAACTTATATTTAAAAAAGAATACAGCAGCAGAACAGGGGTGTACCTGGTGCAGTCATTTTGCTGAGGCAAAGAAAGTCTATGTCAGTGCTTTGATGGGAGATCTGCCTCAGGTACCCATGTAGAGCTACTGTAAAGAAAAGTGAGATGAATGAATAAAATGGAACCAGGTTTTGTTGAGTTTGGACACACTGACTGATTTTGCAAGATCAGCCCTTGGCCAAGCCTAAGCACTTGTGCCTGAAACAACGGCAGATGGCTTCTCTGTTCACTCCTGCTTCCCTTTTTCAGTTTCCTTATGTATCAGATTTTAGCTTGAAAGCTCCTTGGGGCAGGGTCTTATCCTTTTGTACTCTGTAAAGTACCATACACCAGTGGTGCTTTATATAATTAAATCAATGCTTCAAAGCTCATGGGAAAGCCAATTCATGTTAACCTTACAGTGTAGAATATAGTTGTGTGAAACCAGCCCAGTTCTGGTTTTCTATCTGCTTATTTGTACTGTATTTCCACCTCTTTGTGGGCACTTCAGCCCATGCTGGATGTGGGAAAGGGCTGTAGCTCCATGGCAGAGCATCTGCTTTCCAAGCAGAAGGCTCCAGGCTGAATCCCTGGCATCATGTCCAAGTAGAGCTGAGAAAGTCTCCTGCCTCAAATCCTGGAGAACCTCTGTCAGTCATGGTAGAAGACAGCTTCTTGTGTTCCTGTTAAGCTGTCTTAGGTCTGGCCATATCATTTCACATAAATAAATACTTAAAGCATTGAGGTCACCATAAACAATTCCATTTTTATGGAAAAACTTAGTCCATCCTACTGTCAAGCCCTTTGCTAGTTCAATAAAGACATTGAAGGGAATTGCTGCAGCTCAGGGATAAAGCAGCTAGGGCTGGGAATACCCCCTGTCTGAAACCCTGGGCTGCTGCTGCCAGTCCGTGTAGTCAATACTGAGCTAGATGGACCGGGGTCTGTCTCATTATAAGCAGCTTCCTGTGCTCCTGAGTTCAGATGTTGTGTCTGCAGGACAACTTTATTATGAGTGACAAGGGAGTATTCATACATCTATGAAACTGATACGTGTGTGTGTGTGTGTGTGTGTGTGTGTGTGACATTCTTTGCTTTGCTTTACTTTTCCTGTTGTGAAATTAGAAGGCTAATAATAATGAACTATTTTTCTTGATGGAGCTGGTAAATAGAGGCATGTTTATGAAGTTACTGCTTTATACCGGGCATAGGCAAACTTGGCCCTCCAGATGTTTTTGGCCTACAACTCCCATGATCCCTAGCTAACAGGACCAGTAGTCAGGGGTGATGGGAATCGTAGTCCCAAAATATCTGGAGGGCCGAGTTTGCCTATGCCTGTTTTATGCACTACTTTCAAGGAGCGCTATTAATACCTCATTAAGTAATGCAACAGTCTTGCAAATCAATCTATAAAAGCTATGAGCCCATGGAAAAAGAATTACTAACCTGCCTGTCTACACATGTGCTTAAGCTAGTTCTTTCAGAGGTACTGAATTGCCTGAAATAAAAAGGGGGAAAGCCATCCAGTTCACAAAAAACTTTCTCCAACTGGAGGCAAACCTTACTTGCCACAGGGCAGCGGGCACACGGCTTTTGACAAGCTTGCCATAGGACATGCCCAGCCGTTCATTTGTTTTTCGCACCATTCATCAATCTGCCAGAAACTCGGCTGCATGAAGGCAAGTTGACAAAAATTTGGGGTCCTATTTAAGATGCCTGAATGGCAGAGGGACTGATCCTGATCAAGGGAACACAATCTGTGAGGGATTTCAAAAAGAATGGGAGTGCTCTTGTGCGGCTCCTGTTCATTTCAATTGTGTGTGTGTGTTGCAAGAGAACTTCCCCATGGATTTCATCCCATGTTAATTTGCGTGAAGTGAGGAACGAAACTATTCAGATTTCCTAGCTCTGGGCACCAGGATGTCCTGGGTCAGCTTTGACTCTGCTTGTCTTCCTGTAACACATAAATGGTACAGCCTCAGCAAAATGGTACCGAGGGCGAGAGTGCTGCCTTGCATAACTTAAGGCACAAAGATAATGATCACCCAAGGATCAAAGGTAGAACTCAGAAAAACCTAAAGGTCGGTTTTAGATCTCATTATCAGCTAGGGGCTGCTGAATAATGGATGGAGAGGAGCATTAAGGGCAGATTTTTTTTCCTTCCTTTTTTAAAAAAGAGAATTTATTGAACACCAGGCCTGTGTCTTTGTTGCCAAGCATTAAGAACCAGTGTTCGAAATGCTTGACATTTATTGGCTGTAATTACAGGCTGGGGGAGGAAAAAGAAGAAGACAATGATTTAATTTGGCTTGCTGGGTTTTGGTCTCTTAATCTGTTTTCAGTACTGTGGCTGAACTTTGAGGAGGTGAAGTTGTAACTGCGGAAAGAGCTCCCAAGCACATGCAGAGTGTAATTATCTCTGCAGGAAGATCAGAAGAGCTCTGCTGGATCAGACCAAAGACCCATCTAGTCCAGCCTTCTGTCATCACAGTGGCCATCAAATGCCCCAGGAGGAAACCTGTAAGCAGGACATGAGTGGAAGAGGCCTCTTCAAAGCTGCAGTTTCCATTCCATGTTTTTGGAATTTGCTGGGCGTGGCTGGACCCTGATGGATCTTATCTAAGAAATGAAGCCTTAGAGTGGGCAAGCCCCAGGCATCTGGTTGGCCTCTGTGAGAATGGGATGCTGGACTAAGATGGGCGACTGGCCTGATCCAGCAGGTTCTTCTTATGTTCTTAAGCAGCTGAACTGGCTGGTGCAGGAGAAACTTCATGAGCACCTATCAAGGAGCAGAAGTAACAGGCCTCCAAACATCCTATTTAGTGATTATTCATAATGATTTGTACTTTGATGCTGCTGGGGTGATCACATGTGATTATACTTTCAATACTGTTTGCGCCTGCATAAGTTTTGAGGTGGTCATTTCTAGTCAATGCTTATTCTGTAACTTCCTGCTGAAAAAATCCCATCACTTTTTATTTCACAAATGTTTCTGGTTTATTACGGTTGAAGAACATGCTGCAGAATACATTCACAATAGAATACCCGTCTCTAGGAGCCCAGAGCTGATAACAGCTTATGGTCACATCTACACCATACATTTAAAGCACATTAAAGTAAAGGTAAAGGGACCCCTGACCATTAGGTCATGTCGTGGCCAACTCTGGGGTTGCGACGCTCATCTCGCTTTATTGGCCGGGGGAGCCGGCATACAGCTTCCGGGTCATGTGGCCAGCATGACTAAGCTGCTTCTGGAGAACCAGAGCAGCGCACGGAAACGCCATTTACCTTCCTGCCACAGCTGTACCTATTAATCTACCTGCACTTTGACGTGCTTTTGAACTGCTAGGTTGGCGGGAGCAGGGACTGAGCAACGGGAGCTCACCCCATCGTGGGGATTCGAACCACCGACCTTCTGATTGGCAAGCCCTAGGCTCTGTGGTTTAACCCGCAGCGCCACCCACGTCCCTTAAAGCACATTACTTCCTTCAAATAATCCTGGCAACTGTAGTTTGCTAAAGGTGCTGAGAACTGTAGCTCTTTGAAGGGTAAACTACAGTTCCCAGAATTATTGGGGGAAAGCCATGTACAGTGGTACCTCGGGTTAAAGTCACTTTAGGTTACAGACGCTTCAGGTTACAGACTCCGCTAACCCGGAAGTTGTACCTCGGGTTAAGAATTTTGCTTCAGGATGAGAACAGAAATTGCATGATGGTGGCATGGCAGCAGTGGGAGGCCCCATTAGCTAAAGTGGTGCTTCAGGTTAAGAACAGTTTCAGGCTAAGAACGGACCTCCAGAATGAATTAAGTTCTTAACCCGAGGTACCACTGTACTTTAAATACAAGGTGTGATTGTGGCATAAGTGAGATCCAGGCACAGCTCAAAACATCTTGCTTCCTGGAGCAAGGGATAAGACGGTGCCATTCTCCACTCCCATACAAAATGGCTGTACAGTGATACCTTGGGTTAAGAACTTAATTCGTTCCGGAGGTCCGTTCTTAACCTGAAACTGTTCTTAACCTGAAGCACCACTTTAGCTAATGGGGCCTCCCACTGCTGCCATGCCACCATCATGCAATTTCTGTTCTCATCCTGAAGCAAAGTTCTTAACCCGAGGTACTATTTCTGGGTTAGCGGAGTCTGTAACCTGAAGCATATGTAACCTGAAGCATCTGTAACCTGAAGCGTATGTAACCCAAGGTACCACTGTACTGGCCATTGAATCTTATGTTGACACTGTAAATGAGGCAGTATCTTCTGCTAGATTTGAGGCAGCAGGCTAGCTTCAAGAGCAGACCACATGGCACACTCACCACTGGCGGAGGAAGGTGGGTGCAGGGGACCGCACCGCTCCGCGTGTCATCCCTAAGCGGGGGTGACATTCGGTGCTCTGCCTGCCCGCGACTTGGACTCCTACGCCTCCCGCGAGTCATTGGGGGAAGGGGTGGGGGGAGCTGCTACTCTGTTTTGCCGGTTCCTTCCTCTCCCCTTCCTGCTCGCCTGCCTCCTTCCCATCCTCTCTTCTGCCTGCCTGCCTGCCTCCTCCTGCCGGGAACGTGGCACAGCAGCTCCCCCCTTACCCTGACGGCTGGCGGTAGGCATGGGAGTCGTGGGAGGGCAGTGTGCCGTTGCCCTGTGCTCCCAGCTGGAGGAGACAGGCAGGCAGGGGAGAGGATGGGAAGGAGGCAGGCGAGCAGGAAGGGGAGAGGAAGGAAGCAGGATCAGTGGGTGCGTGCGCCGCTATCCCACGCCTAGGAGGGCACCCTCTGTGCCCCTTGGGAACACGCCTGCTCTGGGCAGCATGGGCATATGCTCCGCCACCGACACTCAGCTCTCTACTCCAACTCTACCCCTCACTATCTGCCACCTGAGGCAGTTGCCTCATTCTGCTTATTGGTAAGGCAGGTCCTGGTGACATGTACTCCATGCTCTGGTAACTTTCAGACTGCATTATTGCAATGTGCTCTACATGTGGCTGCCTTTGAAGATGACTTGGGAACTTTGACTGATCCAAAATGCAGCGGCTGTCAGGGGTTCTATTTCAGATGAATTGCTTGCCAGTTTGCTTCTGGGCCCTATTCAATGTGTTCACATGAATGTTTAAAGCCGTAAATGACTCAGGCCCCAATTATCTGAAACAGCACCTTCTTTCCTACAGACTGTTTAGTTGTTAAGGTAATTCTTCTACCCTCATGGAGCTCAGAAGAGGCCTAGGAGAGGGCATTATCTGGGGCAGCTTCTAAACCATAGAATTCTCCTTTCTGCAGAGGTGTGCCTAGCACCTTAATTATGTAGTTTCCTTTGTATGCTGAAGACACACCTTTTTCTCCTGCCCTTTGACACCCAAGATATATCTTTCTATTATTCATCCTATTCTCCTGACTGTAATTAGTCTCAACTGATTTTAATATTGTATTCTTAAAATATTGCAACCTGCCTTGGTATGTCATGGTGAGAGGCAGGTAAGAATTGAATAAATCATCATCTTGCGCCTTGGTGTGGATTAGTTGCCATATCTCCTTTCCTGATCTTCATCTGACCAGCTTAGATCTTATGGTGGAAGGGGTCAGTTGAGTCATTTTTGATCATGTGGTTCCCTACCCC